AGGAAATAATTCATAATGTACGCAGGAGATGAGAGGGAAGAGAAGAGAAGGGGAGGGGAGGGAAGGGAAAAGAGAAGGTGAGAGGGGAAGGGAGGAAAGAATAAGAGTGAGGAAGGCAGCAGAGAAGAGTGGAGGATTAGAGAAGTGTGGCATCAGGAACAACTTAAGCGAAAAACAACAGGTATGGCTGAAGCAACAAATCTATCATAATTTCAACAAGACACATACTACGTAATCGTGGGCCTTATTAACATGCTGTAGAGTTGACAGAAACATCTCATTTTGAAGGGTCATCACTCACTTTTATTTTATATTTTTAGAAGAAAAATATTTTATATTCCCTTTCACAGTACCTGGTACATACAAGTAATAAATGCTTGTTGAACAATCAACTGGATGGATAGATGGTTGAATGAACAAACAGACAAACAAATGGGTAGAAGGAAAATTAATAAATATTCAAAATAAAGAAAGTTTTCAAATATTTGATAATGGAGATTCGTCACCTCTCCATTTTAAAATTAATCTAATTCGGGGGGGAAAAGTTGAGAAGTAGCATGGCATAGTGGGAAGAAGACAAGATTTAGACTCAGAAACACCTAGATTAAAATTCTGGCTTAACTCTTACTGGCATGTGTCCTTGAGCAAATGGCTTAATTTATGCAAGTCTTCATTTCCTCCACCTGTAAAATGGGGATCACAATATCTACCTTACTAAGACCGCAAACCAGCACTTTTGGCACCTGGAATAAACTACACAAAACCAGCTCTTGAATCAACTCTGTAATTCATAATGTAGCCCACAGATGGGTGTTACTAACAATGCTCGCCATCTGGTAGCTTCCTGTTTTAAATAATTATTCTTGCTAACTAGGTGCCAAGCTTTTAGAATCATTATATTAAATGTTTGCACCCTCTAAATTTTGGTGTCCTTAGACAAAGCCCAGTATGATCAGCCATAGTTCAACTTATGAGGTAGTTCTACAGATTAAAAATAACATAAGAAAAACACCTTGCACGATGATAGGCATGTAATAAATTGTTGATATGTAAACATTTCATTAAAACCTTTATGTAATCCATTTGCCACTCTATATTGTCACAACTATTCCAATAAGCCCACACTGAGAGTAGAGATTAATCATATCAACCACGTCCATTAACACAGAAATAAGGACAGGAAAGGATGATATGTACCACAACATTCTTTTCAAAAATTCAATTGATTCCTTTGACCTTGACTTTGGATTTTCTCTCTTAAATGTTTAAAAACCTGAGAATTTAGAAGAACAGACAGAACTTTCATTTCAAGAGCCATTTCTAGAAGGGAATAAATGAAATGTCAGATTCAAAAAGAGAATTCAAAGTTACCACGATCAGGGTATGCTTGTTCTCTGCTGGATGGGAAAAGAGAACTGCTGCTATTGTGTTTTGCATCTGGTCTTAGATGTGGAAATGCCAGTTAAGCAAGAAAAAAATCAAGTCATCTTTATCAGATCTACTAACAACCCAGATAATCGCCTTTAGGATAAAATAGTTTAGTAAAGAAATAACAAAATTTGTCAACCCTGTATAAAGCACTCCTACTTAGCTCTGAAAGATTATTTTCTCTGGATTACCAGATATCCAGAAATAATTATTTTATTATAAGGCATGCCAATCCAACCCAGGGTCACAGGAACAACTATTATAAAAAGAGTTAAATTTAAATGATTTATAGGTATTACTGGTTATAGTGATGTTTCAGTAACAATTTTGTCACAACAGAACAAATTTTTCCCAAAGAAGCATCTCTTCTGAGCATAAATGTCAAATCAAGTTCACAAGCTAGAGCTCCCAATTACTCCACAAATTAAAGGTTAATGTCTACATGTTTGTTAGATGGTGACTAGTATGCTTTTAAATGGAATCCATGGACTGGAAGCACTGTGCTGACCTTGCATCAAATGTACAACCATGAGGACTAAACAAGGGCTCTTTTACACACCGGTTAAAAATTAAAATTCTATGATTGTGATTCCTATCGTTTGTCTGAATAAAAATTGATCACATTATGAATAAAGAATAAAAAACTAAAACCAATTTAGTCAATTATTAATTTTTTGGATTTGATGGCACATTAGCAACAAAAACCAATCCGGAGTAGGAAGGGATATTGTGGTTTTCTAAAAGACATACATTAAATAGGAGAAATATATTTAAGTGGTAACATTCTTTAAGACAGAGGTCTAGTAGGTTTGATATCAAGTTATAATGGAAAAATAATTCACCACCATAATCAGCAAAGTAACTAATCAAATGATATATATTCTTTGTTATTTGCTCATACGCACCTATAATTCTCATTCTGAAGCAAAGATTTTTATTTTTCTGGTGCCATCAAGTGGTAACATTATGAAATGTTCT